ATAGGTGCCACCACACCCTCCATGTGCGGCATTTATTGTGGGCACGTAACTCGAATAAAACGCACCTTACTCTGATCCCCATGTTAGTGCTTAATGGACCCCTTTGTCGCCGTTCCCCTTCGATTTGCTGGATAATTGGTCTAATATTTGGCCGTTTAATCAGGACATTCCTCTAATATAAGTTGTATGAAAGTGAACGCAACCAAGTAAATCTGCAAGCTTTCGGCCAATTCGCACGTAACTCATGCGAGAAAATGTAACCTAAACTTCGGTGATAGAAAGCAGGACAGGAGAAAACGGCCCGGTTACGGGCAGCCGATTGGTAGCTAATGCAAAGTGCATACGTTGTGATAGATTAGCAACAGTTATCTACCCCGTCATGGGAAAAAAAGTAGGCTACAATACTCAAAATGAACCAATCTAAAGGCAGATTTTTTTCGTTTGCAACAACACACTTCCATTGGCGCAACTATAAACTGCTGAAGTATTTGCCAGAAACATTCAGAGGCAGTTATAAGCAGAGATGTAAGGGTGCGACAGCAAATAGCGTTGGCTGTATTAAAGCCTTCCGCTTGCTGGTATGGGTTTGAATTCCATCGAGGGCGCCGAGTTTTTCACAATTTGGTCAGAGGAACTATTTAAATCCGTCAACCCTCACCTCTCTACTAAACAGCGAAAACTACTGAAAATTACATGCGGAAGCGCGGTCTCCGAAGCCCTTTTCTTTCTTGATCCGAGGATGTATTTGATTTTCTTAAACAGAGTGCTTGAGACCAAACAAGATCATACATGGTAGTAATCAGAAGGAAACACTTTGAGGTAACTTAAAAGCATGCCGTCGAAGAGGACAGCATACAAGTAATGAAGGTCAGTAAACTTCAGCGAGTCAACGAATAAAGGACAACCCAACGTGCGAAGAACAAATGGACGAAGAACGTAGTCCCTTGATGCAAAAGAGCAACTACACGGTCACGTACCACGCCGCCAAAAAAGTAGACTAAAAGCAGCAAAAATGCGATTAAAAAGCAGACATAAGTTACCTCTTATCGTTTTTAGGAGTATATTTTTTTTCAAGTTGATGCAGACGATGGAACAGGTAGATAATAATGTCAGCGGCAAGAAATTTATGATGCATCATTCAGATAGCCGACATGCAAGAACCCGTATGAAGCTGTGGTAAATAAATTAAATTGCGAGAATGGCACTGGAATATTTTGAAAAAGCATGGCAAGCAAGCTTTGCTTGGATGCAAAGTGGAAGCAAACAAAATCCGGCAGAGAAGGCTAACAAGCCGCCGAAACAGCTCAAAGCAGTTAACGGTTCAGTGTGTTCCTGCGGCAGCCAGGTGACAGGGTAATCGCCATAGGGCACCACACACAAGCATAACGAAGGGTTCAAAGTAAAAATGAGTGAGTATAAAAACGATGTTGCCCTGGGCCGCATTGGCTGGTCAACATCCTTGCTAAATAAGACTGGATTCTGACAAAAATGTCACAAAAGTGGAAAAGAGCCGTTCATGTGAACAATGATAAACACTTGATGTCTACCTTTGACACGGATTCCATGCATCGAATGGTTGTTGTGATAAGTGCGAGAGAGTACCGAATTGGTTTAATCTACGGGGATGCTACGGTTTGACTTATCTCGCAAGACAGACGGGCGGTGTGAGTTGGATGACGTTGATCCACGAGATTCAATCCCCTGAGGTGGAGGCTCATATGCTAAAAATCTTCACGTCACTTTTATGAGCATAAGTGTCTGGTGGACATACTGCTGTTAACGACTGCTTAAAACGTTCAGGTCACAACATAGACGCAATGCGAAGCGAAGGCTGTTTTGGGACACGAAATAGTTAACTCCTTGTACTTAAATAATAAAGGTCAAAAGCAAACCAACCTAGTAGGTTGCGCCATAAAAAGGATTCCTGGGAGAAAAAGTGGGAAAGGTAAGGTCAATAAAACATTTAAGCAGCTATTGGCATAAGATCTTTACCCGCATTGGTGTCCGTTTTGCCTGGCGTCGCCGGGGAATGCGTTCCATTCTTTGCGTTCAGCTCACTGCTCGAAGTTCTGTACCTTTGCACGGGCTTTGGAATA